TCGCTCTGGAGTCTTCTTCGAGTGACTGAATGGGCACTTGTCACCATTTCGACACCCTGCATCTGTGAAATGGAACTTGCAGCGGATTTGCTTCTTGCTCTTGTCGCCTCTGTTGTCCGCTGACTCACTCCTCGTCTTCTTCTTGGGCTTTGGCTTGGTCTTCGCATGACTCTTCGCTTTGCTCTGAGGTAGTACAGGTGTTGCTTTATCCGGCTTGGTAGGCGAAGCTTTGACCTTTGCGGATGGAGCTGCATTAGGCGTTGGTTTCTCAGGTACCTTGGCCGGCGCAGCGAGCAAATCCTTGCCCTCAAGCATCTGGCGCAAACCAATTTGGGTCTGAGTGAGATTTGATTGTTCTCGTCTCCGCATGATGGTACGATCGATGATCTTCATCAGATTGTCGTACGATCGGTCTTCATGATTGTAGGGCAAGTGGTCATAGTGCATGCCCAAATCCATCTTCATTGCGGGCGAGTCCTTGATCTTGCTGTGCAAGCAATCACGGAGAGCTGTTTTGGATGGTATGTCTTCTGGTCTCATCCGTCCAAGAACTTCCAACCACGTCTGCTTGAACGTATGAAGTTTGTTGTCGCCTTGGTACTGGAGCTTCACCAGATACTCGAGAGTGATGATCATGTCGAGACGGTCATGCGTTCGAAAACTTTCATACATCATCGCAATGATTTGTCGTCCTTTGATGATCTTCCCTTCGGGCCTGCTGATGTAATCGTTGGCCTTCCGGTTCACCTCCAGGTACAGATCAGCGGATTTGTCACCACCAGCGCGTAGCATTGCGACCATGGAGACCCCCAATTTGACGTCTATGCTCTTGAACTTCTTGTGTCCTGAATCGTTCAGTGCTTCGACATCAGGGAATGGATTGAACGCTGGTGCCAGCCATAACATCCAGTCCTCATGATTTGGGTCGGCTGATGCTCCTAGGACATTCGCCGTGCATACGGACCGCCAGTTGTTCAGGTGAGTGAGAACAGGCCATGGAGGGACTGTCACTTTATCGGCCTCTCTCCTGGAAATTCTCACCTCCGTGACCTCAGGATCTGCGTCTCCGTCAGGATCACGCGCATGAGGGTCAGGATCCGGTTCAGGTTTGCCTCCACCGTTCCTCTTCTTATCATCATCGTCATCATTAGGCGGATCTGGAGGGTCATACCCCGTGCCGGCCCCTTCATCTTGCTCTCCCTCTTCGTTCTCGTCGCCAGCTTCATCACCGTCATCGTCTCCATTGTCTTCCTGAATCGTTTCAGCGAATAATCTCCACTCATCACGATCAGCTCTGAGACGTTGTTCGGCTTTCTGGGCCTTGAGTACTTCGCTTCGCAGATCAGCAATCTTCTCTTCGTACTGTTCCGCGACCTCTTTCTCGATCTGACGTCTCCTTGCCTCATGGATGGAAGCATCGTAGGTGACAGGGGCACCATTGGGGTCGTTGCCCCTCATAGATGCGATAATGCCGTCGATACCAACAGGTCTTGAGGAGCTGGCAGATGCTGTGGACTTCGATCCCAACATCCCGCGATCCTCCAAGAGTTCACGTAGCTGTCGGTCACGCACGGCTGCCGCATCACTTTGTCCATGAAATCCGCTTGGTATGCCAAACAGAGTGGCTGCACTGGGCATGGAACGCGCATGTGCTGGACTGCTAATGCCTGGCACGTGGTGCTCGGGCATTGCATCCGCCACGATTGGCGTTGCGTAGGATTTATTTACCTCACCTTTGATGTTGCCAGTGAAGAAGTTTCCACCGGTAAATGGGATGCCATCCATCGCAAGGTTCTTGTCCTTGTCCGATTCTGAGAATGCGAACTTCTCTTTGGCGACTGGACTAATTTGACTTGGGGACCGTATTTCAGGGGATCGCACCTCACCTCCTACGGAAAATGCAGGCACTACTTCCTTTCCTACGTGCTCCCAGCCAGACTCAGTAGTCCTCGAAGACATGGGCATGCTCGAAGGCCGTGTCACTCCGCCATGGTAGTTGGAGTTCCGTGCTGCCTCCAATTCGCTGCGTGTCCTCGCTTGAAGATCTTCTTGTGCTTTGAGCGTTTTCCTGAGTTCGCTCAGCTCGTCGTGCAAGGTGGGCAATGCGCGCCTTGCATGATCCTCATTCTGATGAAGTCGGTCCTCTGCATCTTGCATCCTCCTCACAGCCATTTTGCGGTACTCTTCCTCCTCACCAAGACGTTCGCGAAGCCGAAGTCGTTCTTGATCAATGGCTGCGCTGTTTCCAGCTAGCCCTTGAATCTCGTTTACGGCCCGCAACTCCTGATTCCTGACCAGGTGGAATCGTTCCTGCATCGCTTGTAAGGCTTGTTCTGAACTTGCTGTGTTCGACCGGAGGAACAAGTTCTCTCTGGCTTGTTCATGAAGTTCATGAGTCAGATGCTCATACTCACGTGCCATAAGCTCACCATCGCCTTGCGCTCTTGCCTCCAACTGCACAAAGTTAGTGGCTGCTTCCGTGCGGAACACATGTAGCTGTTGAGCCAACTCCTCGGCAACGGCGTGTGCTTGACGTTGTTGAGCAGAGTTCTGTTCATCCATGCGAAACAAAGCTGTTTCATAGTCTCGCTTCATCTCCTGATTGACATTGTTGATGTGCCTCATGGCTAAGCATGCATGGTCACGTTGTCGTTCCAATTCTTCGATGCGAATCCCAGATCCTTCATCTTCTTGCTGCATCTCCTTGATCTTCTCCATCAGGGTCTGGACAACACCTTCGTACTCCTGCACCTGACTTCGATAGTACATCTGCTGTGCAAGGTTCGATGCTTCAAATTGTTGCGGAATTGTCAATCCCTGGTAGGCATTCGGACCATCGGCAATGGCTGGTGTAGTCACTGACGAAGCGTCACCCCGTGCAGGGATTGTGTCCAGAGTCATATCCAGATCGTCAGCCTCGCGTGGTTGATTGGTAACCATTCGATTCCACGTCATGGACTTGTCACGTCCACGAGTGGCCGAAGTCCTTGATCGTGCTGAAGAGCTTCTTGAAGATGATGGTCGCGGCTTCTTTTCCAAAGTCTTCACTCCCTTGTCCTTTGCCCTCGACGGGGTCCGAGGTGCCTGAAAACCAGACGCTTCGGATCGTCGTTCTGGAGCCTTGCTCGTCCTCGAACCTGTGGATGTTGGACGCGAAGGCGTGGATGCTCTTGGTAGACTCTTTGCTTTCGCTTTGGGAACTGCCTTTGCAATGGCAAGCGCAGAAGATTGACCTTTGTCATCTTCCGTGGAGCTATCAACGGATTGCACCACTGTGTCATCAGCTGTTGACTCACCAACGGCTGGCGCTGCCACATCGGCACCGAAAGTCATTGTCGTATCTTGACTTGATCCCGAGTTCATTGTGGTCGTAGTAGATCAAGTAGTCTTTGCTGCAGAAAGGCAGAGCCGCGTACGGCTGATAACCTGCGTGGGGATTTGATCCTGGTAATGTTCTGTATCGCTCACCCCACAAAGAGCTGTATTGACTGTTGGCGTGGTTGCCTTCTACAAGCTGGATCACCGTTACTTCCACTTCCACACACGCACTCCTATGCAGGCAGATCCAACGTTCGCTCGTTTTGCACACTCACGGCCGGCGGTGGATCGTCTGTGCACGGGATAGCTCTGTCTACTCGGAGAATCACAGAAGATTATAGCACTTTAGCTATGGGCAATGCTTTCTAGAGCTTGTGCTCATTCTTGAGCCTTGAGCCAAAACGTTGCATGGGCGGTCATACTGAAAGGATGGATAGGCATTGCGGTGTGCGTAGCACTACCACAAGCCTACTCCTAGAGACGAGGGACGCGTGGCGTGCCCCCTTCCCTTGCACTTTACACGGTCTTGCTCACAGCTCTTATAGTGACACCTTAGAACTTGACAAGGCATCGCAGTCCGTTCGCAGGATTTATATCATCAACCGTAGTTCTAACAGTGCACAGGGGAACTTCTCGGACTGGGGTCAACTTCATAAGCCTGAGGCGTGAACCTCCTCATAGCTAAAGGCTCTGCTTCACTGCCACAGAGATTTATAGGCAAGGATCAGACAGAACCTGAATCTGAACCTAAAGCCCAGGGCCCTGAGACCTTCACACTACGAACCTCGAGCCCGTATCGGCACCACAAGCCCTCAACTCTCAAATGTTAAATTGGGTGGTCGTCAAAATCATGGTCCCTTTTTGGGTCCCTATTATAATACGGCACCTATTATTTGGGTTACCCAAAAAGGACCTTAATTTTGACAACTAGTCTAGGGGCCTTAATAACTAGAATAGGGTTTTGGGGCCCATTCTACTATAATCATAATGAGGAGCCCACCAACATAGTATTAGTAATTGTTTGGGCCCCTATAGTACCCAAATGAACCTGACCCAGCCTGTTCCGCGGTAAGACTCGACCTGCCCAAAAGCCCTTCGGCCACAGCCGACAGAAACACACCTTTCCGGGCACGGTTTTGGGGTTTTTAGGCTCTTTTTTTTTTTTTTTTGTTTTTTGTTTGTCGCCTCTTCCTTCGGCATGAGCTTCATGTGTCCAGAATGTTTTTAGGCTTCATTCTCTAGAGTTTAACGCTTCAAAGCTAAAGGTTTAGGGTCTAGGCTTCAGGCTTTAAGGGTTCGACAGGTGGATGGCAGATCGGTCCTCGAAACCTGGGACTGGCTTTGAAGATAATGTGGTAGGGATAGCGGACAGTCCGGCGCAGTAGCTAGTACACTACATATATCTGGATAGCTCAAGTCTCCTGGAGTCACTGATAGACGCAGGGCTTAGGGTTTAGGCGGTGTAGGGACCCTCAAATCTATATCCTATACCCTTGCCCCTACTTCAAGACCCTGTCAGCCTGACCAAGTCATGCCACACTTCAACTAGCTGCACTCCACGAGCCCGAACTATACGTCATCTTCTAGCCCACTACTGCACCACGAGACGGCCTACAAGAGATCTTGGCTCCCAGCTCGAAACAGCCCTTAATCTTGAAGCAGCAAAAAACCGGGCAAGGGGCCTGCCAGCATCCAAGTTCGGGGCTGGACTGCTGAAACTCGGATCGCCTGCATCAAGAAGACACGCCAGAATGACAAGCTTGACAAGGTCAGGAGCTTCCAGAGGAAGGGTTTTGGGTTTGGGGAAGAGCTGACAAGGCTGGTTGTTGCTATATTGGCAATTTTCGAGTTCGGAGAACATTCAATGAACGAAGGTTTCGGATTTCGGCACCACATTGTGCGCCGACCGCGGCCAAACTAGATCAACAACTTTTAAAACAAACTCTTATAGAACCCCTATAGAACCTCGACAGAGTTCCCGCCTCATGTAGAAACCGAAAAGTTGGAAGAAAGGCGGGTCTTGAGGAATCTCCGACAATGTGCAAGCAATCACTGCTTAGCCAGAAGGCTACCGTTCCATCTCCTCACCTTCCAAATCTCTCCCTTGCCATTGCTATGATTCCACTATGCTTACCTAAAGGCTCCATTAGCAATTCCTTTTGGGGGGTCTAGAATCTCCTATAAAGTCATCCCAAAAAGAAACTACTATGGAGCCTATGCTTCAGCATCTTTGAGCTCCAAAACCCTACGCATCTAAGCCAAAACACTGAACCCAAACTCCAGACCTTTAAACCCTAAGCCTTAGACCCTAGGCTCGAAACTCTAGAACTTATTGAAGCCTTGTAGCCCTAACCCCCTAAGCCTACATCTGAAACCCTCAGCCCTTTCATGATTCCTGCGAGAGCCCGCCTTCTCGATCTGATCCGCGATGGGATCCTGCTAAGCTCCCAGACCCAAACCCATATGTGGAGAGTCTTTTTCTTTTTTTTGGGGGGGGTCTCCTTTTTTCCGTCTAGGCTTAGGATTTAGGGGTCAGGGCCTTTGTCGGTGCCGAACTATTTTGGAGACCGTTAAGGGGACCCTAATTTCCAGAACTACCCATGTGGTAGAGGCTATGAAGTTGGAACATTCTAATCCTCAAGCGGACTCACTACTCATCCTAAACTCCTGCTCCAACTTTCTGGGGCTTACTGTAAGGCCTCCACTTTGGAATAAAATCTGGAGCGTTCATCACTAGGGAATAGTGTTGCTAGTTATGCAGGCTTTTATGGTATAAAATTGTTTTGCGAGTGTAAGCTTTGCGGCTTAGGGTGTATTATTTAAGGTAAACCGGCCCAGCCGCGCAATTGCAACTCTTGTCAGTACTCCCATCTATGCTACCAATTGCTAGTTTCGTTGTGCGTGATGGTTATGCTGCCGCTAGCATAGCAATGCTTCATGTGCAATGTTCTCGTAAACCCTACGACCCTACGACTGCTGAATGGGATGTACCTGCTGAAAGCAAACCTGCCGCAACTTTATCTCAGCAAGTCCGCGAGTACTGCTGCAGGCTACCGCAACCCTACACCGCTAAACACCCAAGCCCGCAGAACCTAAATCTAGAATAAACTCAACCCTACATTGTAATCTGCAAACCCCAATCCGCAAGAACACTCCTAAACCCAAAACCCGGCCCAAAACCCTGCGGCCTTAACCCTAAAATATTCTTCGATAACTATACGGAACCCCCCCAAATTCGTTTGAGAATAAGGCCCCTATAGTAACCCTAAATACTCCTTTCAGACGCAAGTCTGCGAGAGATTGCCTCGACAGGCACCTCGCGGAAGATCCTTGGATCTGCTTCTACGACCTCGGTGGCAGGAAGGCGGGTTTCCAAGCAGGGGTTTGGGTCTTCGGGCGGGTTCAAGGGTTTAAGGTTTCGGGGTTAGGGGTTTAGGGTTTTAGGGTTTGGGGTTTTCGGGTCTAGGGTTCAAGGGTTTAGGGGTTTAGGGTTGAGGGTTTACGGATGTGGGGTTGTGAGAGTGTCAGGGATTATGGGTGTATCGGTTTCGGGTTTGGAAGATTTCGGATTTTCCCTTCGCCAGGTGCAAATCCCCCGGTCTCTGCAAAGACTGCTGCTTGGCATCTTTTAAAATGCGATTTCAGGCCTTGCTGAGAGGTTCCCTACTCAGGAGCCTTGTTGCTGAGGTCGCTGCTTGTCTTCCGGGCCTGTATTGTGATGATACTAACAGACAGAAGCCTATTGGAGGTTAACATTTTCGTTTGAAACTCTTGAGAATATCGTCCAGAGCATCTCCAGGTGAAAGCATCGGGGTCCAGAGGTAAGAGGCAGCCACCTTCCCTGAGATGTCACAGCTGCGCTCCTGGGGTGCATGCCTGATCCCAAAGAACATGGCGCTGCTCGTCCTCACGGCATGACTTTCCCGTTCTTTTGGGCTCTCGTTGTGCGGTTCAGCATAAGGGCTCTACAGAGCTTCGTCCAGATAGTTGTTTATGGGGTCCATGATGGGGTTTATACAAAGTCTTATACGCCCTTTGAGTGATTGACATCAGTTGGTGTACAAGCGGAAGGCTCTCCTTGGCCATGAACTGCCGGACGTCTGGTAAGAAAGGCTCGATGGCAGCCTCCGGGCGGGGCAGCCGGCTTGCTGACAAAGACATGAAGGTGAACAACATGAAGGTGATGTAGATTACACTGTCTTCGGCTGACATGGAAGCCACGAGGATGCCAAAGGCGATCCCTTCGAGAAAGCTGTTCATGTATCAAGGGCTGTATCCTGCTTTTGGGTGTATGGGCAGTGCAAGCCTCAAACATCTTACAGTGCCCTCACGAGAGCCCATGACTTTAGTTGACTGACAGGATCCTTGACCAGGATGGGTGGCGAGTTCACTTCCCAGAGGTTGGATCCTTTTCACGTGGCTCCGGCAGAACCATGCAGAACCAAACTTTGGCTGCAGCAGGTCACTCATATGTATACAGAAGCAGAGCATTTTCGCGCAGACAGGCAAGGAAGCATGTGGTGCTCTCAAGATGTTTCAGCATCCGAAATTTCATTCTGGGCCACAACCACGACCGAACAAATCTAGGCCACCACAAAACTTGATAGTATTGGTCTTCTGACCACAAGCACCTCACGAAAGGAACAATCGCAAACACTAACGATATGGAGCACTAAGGCGTTAAGGATTCAACTATGTTGCGCTCGGTTCTGCATTGATGTCCCCTATTCTGAAAATCCCCAAGATCGCCTCCTGTCCTGGCAGCTGCGGCACCGCCTCAAGGTGCTGGCCTGCAGAAAGCTCTGGGAAATGCTATCTTCTGATCTGGGTCACGGACCTTGCGCAAGTCGCGTGTGACTTAAGCCGATATCTCTCAGCCGCAGATTTGTGACAGACATGTGTTTAGCCGTATTGGTGTTTCGTTGAAAACCATGTCGTTCGACTTGGCTTGGCATCCTGACCTTCTGTTGCTTCGCCGTCATGCCAGAGTTTCCAAGTCTCATCATGAACTTCGCCCCGATTACCGTGATGCTGGCCGTCACCGCCAGCGCCAGCACTGTTATCATCGTCATCATCGCCATCATCGCAATAAAAGCTATCATCATCACAATCATCAGCCTCATCATCTGCATCATCATCTTCATCATGGTGAACATCGTCATAATCATCGTCAGCATAATAGTCATCATCATCATCATCATCTTCATCTTCATATTCATCTTCATCTTCATCATCACCATCGTCATCAACAACATCATCATCGACCGTTTGTCATTATCATGATCGTTGTCGTCATCATCACCATCGTTGGTGTCATCGGTTGGGCAGCTCGAGAAGCATCAATGCACATCATGCCCAGCACGATCATCTGCTTCCTCGAGGGCAACACGAAAGTCGCAGTGATCGTTATCGTCATCTTCATCCCTGTAACAGCACAAGTAACCATTAAAAGGTTGCCAAAGTCCATCTTTGGAACGCAAGCCACATCGTGCGTTGCAAGGTTGTCCCGTGCGCTGCCGATTAGACTCGGATAGATAATTTTCAGCGTTCCAAAGGATGGCATGTACGCCAAAATGTGCCAGTATCTGAAGCATACACCCGAATGCTGCTACTATGACGAGTATCGGGTATTTGTACCGACCACAGTACGACTGTGTCACTACCAACTTATCCTACGGCTGATGAACTCAGGACTTGCATCCCGGGCGAGGGCACCACAGTTGCAATCTCAGTGACAACAGCAATAGTAACATGTGCAGTATATCTGCGAGTCTCAAGGAGGTGCCTGTGCAGCAACTTTGGGGCAAGAGTCTTCTGAGTCTCTACCACATAACATAAATATGTGTGTGTGTGTGTTATATACACACACATAAACATAAGTACTTGTACTCGTAGAGAAGTAGGGGCAGTAGCTTTTTGCAACTCACCTCCCCAGAACATACATAATTCACCAATCAGCACTCTTCAACAAAATCGTGCGAAACCTCACCCAATCCCCAATACAAACCCTAATTCGCGCCAGATTCCATTAGATCCTAAAACACGAAAACACCCCCCACATAACGTTTAAAGAATCCTGAAAACCCTTATAAAGACGCGACAGAACCCCTGCAGAACTCGTAAAGAAGGCTTGCAATAAAAGTTATGAAGCCTTGATACATTCCTAGCCCCTAACTAAACCCTGAACCTTAATGGAACCCTTGTAAACGCCAGGACATTGAACCACAGCGGTCCTCGAGCTTCGAAGGTCGGGGCACTGCTTGCGAGATGGAAGGCCTTGCGTCGCTCTTGGGGGGTGTAAGGCCTCGTGGTTTTAGGTTTTAGGGTTTAGGTTCTTTGTTGTTTTCTTGTTTTATGGGCTCTTTTCCGACAGCGCGCAGCTAGAATGCTTTACCTGGCTGAGGGTTCAGGGTTTCAGGCTTAGTCTAGAGCCTAGGGCTCGAGCTGGAGTATTTAAGCTTCAATTAAGGGCCTAGTATGTAGGGTTTTCAAGGTTCAGGGTTTCGGTGGGGTCTTTCGGCCGGAGGCTAAAGTGGCCTGTGCTGACGTTACGGTCGAAGGCTGAAGCCTTAAACTGTGTGTCGGGAATCATCGACGCGAAAGAACGAAGCTACGGAGCAACCGGATCTTTGCAGAAAGCGAGATGGGGCCGTAGAGAGCTGATTCTGCTCTGGAATTGCTGAAGTTGCTTTCGAAGTTTGTCGTGCCTGGTGTTTTAGTTTCTTCACCTAGCCCTGCACCCTGACGTCGTACCTCCTAAAGCTTCTCAGATCTTTCGGACGTCTGAACGTCCTCCCGTCGAACCCCAACCGCAACCGTGGAGCCAAAAGTGCACATGAATGCATCCCAAACCTCCAGCTGAACCCCCATCCCATGATGAAGTCAAAATCCACGTCCGTGCCCGCAGAGCCTCCTCGGGATCATGGGCCACTAAAGGCAAGCCAAAGTGATCCTCCCACCTGTGGGGAGCAAGGCTTCTCCGCGACGAACTGCGCGAGATCTTCAGCCAACACATCAAGAAAACCTCTAGTTTGCAACTCTCACTGGCGGCTATAAAGGCCTTGTAACATGCCTATTCAATTGCTTTGTGCAAAAGCTCACATCTCCACTGAGCAGTAGAGAAAACCCAATTTCTCCAGTTCTACGAATCGGTTACAGCTTCAGCTGCAGTGACGTCCCCGAAGTTATGTGCAGTGACCCAGCTGCAGAAATCTCCTAACAATCCATGCACATCCCAACACCTCTGAACCAAACCCCAGGCCCAAGCCCCATAAGCCCTGGACAACAAGTCCCTAAGCCTACTTAGACCGTAAACATGAAACTTTTAAAGCATAAAGGCAGCCCCCAAAACCCTGGCTTCGAACTGGGAGCCGAACCAGCTCAAGCTTCGGAGCTCAGCCTTTCGCGTTGCAGAGCTTGTATTCTTCTTTTTTTGTGGGTGTGGGTCCTTGTGGTGGGCGTTGATTTGTGTGTTGTGCCTTTTGTCGCTGGCTTGTCCCAGCTGCTTCTTTTCTCGGGAAGGGTAGAATGTGTGGGCTGTGTTTAACAGGCTTTTCTAACCTAAGAACCTAACAACATCCTTCGGGCCGATTGCACTACATGCCGTTGCAAGACAGTATGAAATCAGTTTCGTTGTCTGGTCTCTACGAGAAACCCATCACATGAGGGCATATGCCAACGATACTGTTGTACCACGACGAACAGTAACGAAGAAAGACTGAAGTCTTTGAGTCTTGAAGCCTCCGCCTCAACCCAGTATCCTGCAAGCTCAGCCATGTCGGCTCTCACCGCGAGCGCTAAGGGTAGTAGTAGTAGTAGTAGTAGTAGAGTAGACCCAAACGTCTCCCATCTGGCCGGCTGATCGTCCGCAGGATCCATCGGAGGATCTTGGAGGGACCTCGGGACGTCCGCGTAGCATGACCAGCGGCATTGTTGGAGACCGACTGTGTTTAGCAACCGATGTAGGATAGGCTCAAACTTGCCAGTGGGGCTGATTCAGTTCACGGAACAGGTTTGCAATTGCGCAATCCCAATATGAAGGTGAAGACTCGGCGCTAGGATTTTGGTCTAAGGTTTTGCCGATTATGGCTTGTTCTAAATTCCCCGGAAGCATTGTGCGGCTGAGGGCTGCATGGTCAAGGAAGGTCTTTGAAAGAAAGAGACTGAACTTCTTCATAAACACCCTTAGGGGCTCGTTGAACTCAAACCAAAACCCTAAACCCTAAACCTGATAAACCCTAAACCCTAAACCCTAAACCTGATAAACCCTAAACCCTAAACCCCTGATAATCCCGAAAAGCAAGGAGCACTTAAACACACGATAAGCTTCGGCCCAGAAGCGGCAAGATCAGCGTCTCTGCATGCTCGCCTGGCTACCAGCGGGGAAGATTCCAGCGGAGATTAGTTTAGGGTTTAGGGTTTAGGGTTTAGGGTTTAGGGATGTAAGGCTTTGCGCATTAGGGATCGAAGTCGTGCATGCCATTTTGTCGTTCGTCAAGGCCCCGAAACACCAGCAAAAGATGCCTTGATGAAGCCAGTGCGCAACACCCCGACACCCTCAATCTGAAAACCCTAAGCCCTAAATCCTAAATCCTAAACCCCAACCACACGGAGACCAGACTCAGGGACAGCCCGGCCTGGGGGATCCGGTTGCTGCACGAGACACTCCACTTGGTTCACCTCAGGAAACAGCAACAACTAAATAGGGTTTAAGGTTTAGTTTAGGGTTAGGGTTTAGGGGTTTAGGGGTTTTTTAAGGTTTAGGGTTTAGGAGGTTTAATTTAGGGTTTAGGGGATTAGGGTTAAGGGGTTTAAGGGTTTAGGGTAATAGTCTGTCTTCGTCGCAGTCGTGGTCGCAGATGCACAAGATCAATCTTGTGCCGATAGCCTTTACTCTCTACATCTTCCAGTCCAAAACACTGCGGCCGCAACTGCTACTTCTTCTTCTTCGGTGCCAAGACCCCCTGCCCCAAACCCGAAGCTAAGTATTAAGGCCCCTATACTAAACCCCCACAATGCCCCTCATAGTATATAATCCTTATAGATCCCTTTAACAGAACCTGGCGTTTAAGGTTCAGGGATCCTGAAGCCTGTGAAACCCTGTTCGACCCCGAGAACACAAAGTC